TGTGTGAGGTTCTCCAGGTGTCTGCGCAGGTTGGCCACCTGCTGGAGACCTTGCCACAGATGACGCACGTCGTCAGGCCTTCATGAACCTTCTTGTGCAGCGCCAGGGAGCTCACGTGGAAGTACTTGCGACCGCAGACATCGCAGAACAGCGGCCCTGCGGAGGACGAGCGGTGATGACAGACGACGAGAGGAGGCGGCGGTGATGACAGACGCCGAGGGGAGGCGGCGGTGATGACAGACGCCGAGAGGAGGCGCCGCCCTGGCACGGAGCGCCTGGTGGCTTTTTAGGAACGCTTCGCACGCCGTCTGGCGCGCTTTTTAGTCCTTTTCTTCCCTATGTACTGCCAGCGACTGCAGAGGTCATATTGGCACCTACAGGACGTGACTCTATTGGAATTGTGACCCAGGTCGTCACGTGGGAGCCGCTAACCAGCCGGCCATTACGCCCGTGGAGTGACTGCTGTTGGATATGGGATCGGAGACGGCACAGCAGGAGGAGCACGCACGTCACCGGCGTCAATCGGTACGCTGACCAGTGACGTCACAGCCCAGCGCAGGCGTGCCGGCAGTCAGCCACAGGATTCGCCAATGCCGCTGAATTGGACCGCAGCTAGCAGGCTTCAGTGGTTTAGCTGCCGTCGGTAGCGCACGAGGTGCGCAACGATGATTCGTGTGTGTGTCATTGCGGCTTGTCAAGACGCATTCAGTTGCTCAGGCTATATGGCGTCGCCTGCCTCTCACCCTGGCAGGAGGAGCGGGAACCGCGGGGAATCGAACCTCACACCTCTGGTTTCCCAGACACGCTGTGGTTAACTCAGACGCGTTAACCACACTACCGGCACCCCCTCAATGATGATTCCAGATCTGATAAGCGGAACAAACTACACTGCAAAAACGCGATTTAGCCCCGCATGTCTTCTGGAACATTTGTACGATAAAGGTTAAGCGGTCTCTTGTTCAATTCTAAGTGGCCTCGCACCCGTTTCGACAGTCACTTCCACTTACGAAATGACATGGTACGATGACTCTCATCAAAGGTAGATGCAGAAGCCCATGGCAGATGCCAAAGGCAGGTGCAAATGCGCACAAGACTGGACAAGACTGCGTACAAACCTACACCACTGGATCAAAGGCAGCTGACGAAAACTCCGCAAGGAGCCTCATGGCGCGGGAATCACGAGCAACAGAGCTCGTAATGATATCCGTTACGTAAAGGGATCATCGTTCTCTCCATGAAGAAAAGACGCTTGGCTCTGGTTTAGGTGATGCTCCGGCACACCACTTGTCTCTTGTCACGGAATTATCTTACTCAAGTCACGTGATATATTTCAAAAAGTGCTTGCGGGGCTGTTATCGATAACTGTTGTCGATTGCTATATAGGCTCATAGTTAACATGCTATGCATTGCCTGACGTGAGTTCCGAGATTAACCCGGTCACTCAGACATAAAATGGCATTAAAGAAGGGTACAGGCCTTGACAACATTACAAAATAATCACATAACACTCTCATGGGCCACTACGCGTCAGGATGTCACACACGCAAAGAAATACAAATGGGTTACAAATCACAGATTTTTCAAACTTACGCCGCGCAGAGATATGAAGAGCAAGATGATAAGTAAGTGATTTAGAGTGCGAATAAGTTGAAACCTGTCGTGCACGTGCAAAAAAGCTTAAAACTTAACTCGCACCAGTCCGTTACGGTTCACTGAATGGTTCCGCAGCTTTTCACGAGTGATACTTGGGAGTGTTAGGACAAAGTGACGTCAAAGGTCATTCACGTCCAATATCGCTGACAAACGGGGGCAGGCAAAACAGTACTGTGTACAGGCGGGATTTTTATTGATCACACGTCAGATCAGGCCCGGTTGCTGTGCCGTCGAAAAACCCGCCAACTCATGACACAGTTGTGCGATCACACACACACCACACACGCACGCACACGCACACGCACACGCACACGCACACACGCACCACGCACGCACGCACACACACACCACACACACACACACACACACATAGATATATAATATATATATATATATATATATATATATATATAATATATATATATAGGTTCGTGTGCATATTACATCGCGCGCATTAAAACCGCCTGTATGATGATGTTTGCTACGGCCAACACAATTTATTCTGTGATTTATCAGTGGAAGTGGACCAGTAAGCCGACATGAATATTAAATACTACCTAGTGGGTTTATGGGTGCTGCAGACCTGATCTAACACGGGGCTCCAAACGCACATGAAATATGAAGGAATTCATGCCTAAATCACAATATTGGATCATCTTTAATCACGCTGTAACAAAACCAGTTGAATCGTTAACACATTTGATGCCTGTATTGATCATTCACTGGAAAAGCGTAAGGCCAAAGCACCAGCTTAAGGCGAGTGCGCAGGTTTGTCCATGGGAACTGGATTACAGCGCACAAAGGGAACAGTTAACACGCGCATAACGCAGCAGCGGGACCCCAGGAGCACCAACAATCAGACATGTGTCTGAAGCTAGAAACAGATTCCAGGATACATATACACGAAACTTTATGACATCCGGGACCTACCCTTGAGACCAAAGACATGTCTGCCAACAATTTAATTAAAATAACTCAGATTGCTCACACTAACGTGCCAAAGTTGAAGTCATTGGGTAAAAGTAACGTCCGATGAGTCGGCTTTTCAGCTCTTACACTCGGTCTTTGCCCTTGACATAACGTTTGCCTGGCGCGATGCGCTGGTAAAAGTGGTCGGTAGTATTCTCATATTTTTTATTATTATTCCAGAACCAATGGAAGTCAACGAAACCACTACGCTGATAACTCATGAAGTAATTGATGAAACGGACAATGAAGCGAGTTATAACCATAAACAAGTTACGTCCATGTAAATATCGGTAAAACTTAATTCCTTGTGATGTGGAAATCTCGTACAAGCCATTTAACTCTTCGAACCCAGCTTTCACACAGGCTGCCATGACCGCGGGTAAGACGGTAGTCTACCGGTTACCGATTACGATTCGGAACGATACTAGCTATGTCTTCCTTGGATAGCTTGTGCACTGTGCGAAGATGCACTCGCAAGTCGAACACTCTGTTTTGCACTTTGCCGCAGATGACACACGTTGTCAGTCCCTGGTGCACTTTTTTGTGGAGCTTCAAAGAGCCGGTGTGGGAGAACATTCTGCCGCACAGATCGCAGGAGACGGAACCTGCGAAGCACAGACCGCAATGAGTGGTTCGGAAGCTAAACTCTGTAAAACAATGAATTTATCCACATTCGAAAAATAGATGATCAGAAATCGCATGACGGGCTTGACTGTGGTCGGGTATTACTGGAGCCTGGAATCAGACAGCGTTTTCGCCACGAAGCCGACACATCAGTAATAGTGTCAAAGACCCGCCAACAGCTTGTTGAGGTGCGGAAATGCTGCTGTTACGGCGTTTACTGCAGCGAAATTACTGCTGACATCCACAGGTGGCATGTGTCTAAGAATTAAACCACGTGTGCCAAGTTATGTTTCCCAAGAGCTTGCCCTGTTACATCAGTAGGATCATTCGACGTTGCTGTCAAGCTTCTGAGGCAATGTCGCGAAAGAAGCGGATGAGGCCGCAAATGTGTCCCGACACGATGAATCTCTCGACTTAACAAAGCTCTTTCAACACTATGAGATGAGTGCTTTCATTTTCCAATGGAGGCCATCTTTGCAATCGCATTCTTTCAATTGCTCCTTCCTTCTGGTTCTCCCTGTCTGCTGTAGAACTGATTCACATATCTTCTAGATACCGAGTTCCATGTTTATTACGGCAACACAATATAAAAATGAAAACAAACCACCATCCACCACGGCATACAAACATGGGGACGCCAAAGACATGTCTGGGTGACAAGTTTCTCCACACGTCCGGACAATTTGACAAAATACTTTTGGTGTGGCAATGAAACGCATTAAAATCACCAACGTCCCCTCAGTCGGCAACTGCCGGAGAACTCCGTGAACGCAACCAACACCGCCCGGCAGACGTACACCAGGGAACTGACAACAGGGGAAACACAATACAATACACTGGAAACAAACCACCAGAAACAGTATGTATTGAGCTTCGAGCCAAATGATTTCCACAGATTGAACATTCGGTCTTCAGAGAATCATACGGACAAAGATCACTGCTAGGCTTGCACGTATATGTAGTCGCGTGATGGGACGTTGGCGTATGCGTGATCGCGTCTCTGCGCGCTTTGCATACGCGTGCTTTTGCCGAGGCATGTGCAGGTAGTGTCCATGAACGTCTCGCATACACATTTTCCAAACTTCACCAAACGATCGATAACAAGATGACGGGCAAGGTTGTGGCGCCATTAAGTCTCAACGTTTGCGATGTGGAACAATTTTCTTGACGTCGTCTTTTGACAGCCGATGAACCTGGCGCAGATGCGCCCTCAAATCGGCCACTTTGTTGAGCACCTTTCCACAGAGCGCACACGTCGTCAAGCCCTCGTGCACTTTCTTGTGCAGCCCCAGAGACACGGCGTGCGCGTAGAACCGGCCACACACGTCGCAGGCGAACGCACCTGGGGAAGGTGGAGCGTCAGGTGACTGGAGCGTTCAACACTGGCGTGTTACTTGCATGGCAGCAGCCCCGCCCCGGCAGGTGATCATCTGAACAGCATGCTTCCACGCATGTCCAGCTGAAACGACTACCAGCCATGTTCACCTGACACAAGCAGTTCCTCACAGCCAAGCGCTCTAAAAACCTAGGCAGACCGTTGAGTAGACCGTTGAGTTTGATGTAGCTTTCAAGGGACTTCCAGATAAGTATGGAGTTCTGAACTGACACACTATTTTCAAGACCGCTGTCTGCCGTTCACAGCCATGTCCTATTTCAGACTTCAAACTCCTTGCTTCTAAGCTTGACGCATGCGAACCTGTGCAACCTATTTCGCGCCGCCTATCTGAAAGTTATTCAACACGTACGACGCCACAGCAGCGTCGCGCGAGTGTCCCCACCTCGCTGGTTGAATTATGTCCATAGTAAAAATAAGCCCACCAAAAGAGTCCTTTTTGCAGTCATTCAGCTCCAGTGTACCAACGATGGCAGGCAATTGGCCAGCATGAATATTTAGCTGCCGATCGCATGTATCGATACGAACCGCGTTTTGTGAGAAATAACGCAGGCATTCAGGCAGAAGCACTGGTATGACGAGCATGAAGCTGGGAATCGAGAGTTTAAGGAAAGCGTCGTAGCCGAAAATTCAAATGTAGGTCATGAAGAGACCATCACGGGAAAATATACAAGTACACCACGAGGCATGGTAAAAAAACAAACACACGTTCATATCACGCAAAAACGAAAAATGTATGCGTCTTGAACAACGCCACCCTGCAGCGCGAAGAAGCACGAGTAAGTCGGACAACGACTCTTACGGCATAAAACGTCCCACGACGTAATCAAACGATGACGTATTGAAAAGCATGCTTACTAAAGAGTAAAATTGTGTTGTTTAGAGCACCTTTTGCACTTAAAAGCATACCAATAGCCCAAGTGTGCTTTTCAATACATGTGATGCTTGCCCCAATATCTTCAAATGTGGAACGGTCCATTAAGTGCCAGGTGTTCTCACATGGACAATCTGTCCACTCACCTTTCCACATATGTCACACACAAGCGCCGCGCTACTGACTGTGTATCCAGGATTCGTACACCTTTCCCATGGCTCTTTCTACACGCATTACAGGCGGGTGTTGACACATCAGCTGAGTCGTTGGTACTGGAACCACGCCTAGAGCGCACCGGACCAGGGATGTTCGGAAGCGATATTGCCAGTGAACTGAGCATAAGCACACGCCCTGGTCACCAGATCGCCCCTCCGCAGGCTGGCATAAAGATACCAGCACAGGCTGGCATAAAGATACCAGCTGATGTAGATCAGCGCTACGGCAAATATCCGACGAAATGCGCAGAGCTGGATGGCGATAAATGGAATCAGTAAGACTGAAAGGACGCCACGTCCAGTAGACTGTCAAAGGTGGTCATGCACTTCACCGATCACTAAAAGGAGATAATCATTCGCCATCTCAGAACGCGAAGACTTGATTTACGCGTCACCATGGACTTCTCTTTTCCGCACTTCTTCTTCGAATGATCTTATCACCTAACGAAGATTGACTGCCATGTTTCGCTACTTTTAACCATTTTCTGAACCATTACACAACCTTTGAACAGTGCGTTTAAGGACACAGGAGGGAAAACGGAACATTAACGCGCATGAGCTAAAATGTACATATAACCAAGAACTGAACTAGTGCTATGTGAGAACGCCATTCACCAGTCACGCACGAAACAAACCATTCAACACTTACAATAAGCGGGACAAGCACATGCCAGGGAATACCATTCCCTGTCTCCGAAAGCGTAGATTCTGGCATGATGCCATATACTTCAGTCGTATAGAAGAAGCCAACTGTCTTGTCGGAATTTATTTTAAAAGTCTATATCCACAGTCGTCGAAGACACAGCCGCAACTAGTCGCAGCTTAATACTTAAGTTGTTTGGGACGCGGCGCCACATCAGGAAGTCATGATGAGCACAATAACTCAGACTACATATACTCAGCTAACAGGCGAGTGGGACTGGTTTCGTCTCCTTGCAGACATGCGATAACGCCTTTTGTGATAATCAAACATGCTTGGCGATGATTCTCAGTCAGACTGTGTTCACGTGTACACGGGCTCGATGGTCGACATCACATCCCCTTTATGAGTTCGTACGTTGAAAATGACCAACCTGCAATGCACCAGATAACCGGCACTGGCATACCTGCATTGGCATACCTGCATTGAGTTAACTGAACTGATCTTAACTATCATCAAAACACATTGCCAGTGAACCTTTGCCACATACCGCCATTTTAAAATCTCTACAGTATCAGTACGTCCCGGCACACTATACGCCGGCTATTTCCAATATAAAAACGTGTAATGACGAAACGCCTGTGGTTAGATGCCTTGCTCATATGAAAATACATTTCGATATTTAAAGCAATGCGTCGTAAATGAGATAAAATGAACACGAACACGATCCGTGGCAAACCGCGGCCAACAGCCGAGCCCGACATCCTCCCTTCCAAGCTAGGCTCACAAATCGGGCTTGCACGTGGCTCTAGCCTCGTTGGCACCTGTCGTGCATCTTCAGGTCACAACTGGTGGTCGCCTGTCGCCGCCGCGGTCCTGCAGCACCCGTCCGAGCAGCAGCTTCAGACGGCGGCACCGCTGCGCCTGCTCGGCACCAGGCTCCAGATGTGCTCGGCCGACAGGTGGTGCACCTTCTCCATGTGGCGGCGCAGGTGGGCCACGCGGCTGGCCACTACGCCACACACGGGGACACGTGGTCAGGCCCTCGTGCACCTTCTTGTGGTGTTCCAGCGAGAGGGCGCGCGAGTACAGCCGGCCACAGATCTCACAGGCCACACCGCCTGGCGAGACAGAGCACGCTCTTAGACATGGGCGGCGGCAGCACCGGAGCCACGGTACATGGGGCGGCGCTGGGCGGGACCTCTGAACCGATACTTGGATTTTGTCACCCTTCTTGACCCACCAAGAGCATGCAACGGCGAATCAAGCTGCCAGGGGCCATACCAGTGTGCGTTCTTGCAGCATGAGCACCAGAGGTGTCGTTTCCTGTTCAACCCCCCCTCCACACTTGAGCTACAGCCCCCCCCCAACATTGAGAAGAAAGTGGGCCAAATTTGGAGAGAAACCCGTCTGTTGACGTGTTTCGGGGTATACTGCATATTTGTTTTCACTACAACGCCCCGCCCCCCTACATTCATTTCGCGAAACTATGCCCCTGATGACCATCTATTGTCTTGCACCCATAAATCAACATACCGAGTACAAACTATGCGCATAGGGGGTGCGAAGCGAGGTCCCCGCAGCCGGTTACATCACTTAGTTCGCGACACTTAGGAAAACGCAGAACGCAATGAGCATCACGACTTGCCAATAAACGCTCTAAGGAGCGATGTCACACTGCAGTGGGTGAGACCTCGTTTACTTCGCAATACACGTGATCATTGATCCACAGCCCCAGGTCCTCCACGATCAATCCACAGCACATAGCGAGCCTTCCTGAGGAGACCTCTAGGCCCGTCACGTCTATTGTTACCTTACATGTACGTTCACTCGAGCATCCTCAGTTAATAGCCTGCATGAAAGCTTGCTCCTCAGGAACATGGCACGTGTTTCAGTGTCGTGTGATCCACACACAAGGCAAGGAGCTGGTGCTCAGACCAGAGCGAAGCCGCTTCGCAGCCAGAGCACGAGCCCGTGCTCGAACCAGAGCGGAGCCGCTTCGCAGCCAGAGCACGAGCCCGTGCTCGGACCAGAGCGGAGCCACTTCGCAGCCGGAGCAGGAGCCCGTGCTCGGACAAGAGCGAAGCCGCTTCGCAGCCAGAGCCTTTCCGGCGCATGTCAAAGATGCCCGACATCACTTACCAAACCTCTCGGGTACAATGTGCAATGGCCAACAAAGCTCAGCGGTGTAGCCCTCAGGCCAATTGCCATTGTCAACTTCAAACGTTGGCTGCGTCTAGACTTATCACGGATTCACAGTTCCTCAGCGCCAAAATATTTCAGAGAAAAGGAAAAGCAGTAACAGACAGCTTTATTTTCGACAGCTTTCGTAAAAACTGCCAAAAAAGTTTAAGTCCCTTTAACTTATAAGGCTCATTCCATCAACAGCAGGCCGACCAAACTCTTCCTCATCATCCGAATTAAGTCTACGAGGTTCTTACAGCGAATGCATTAGAAGCTCAAACGGAAACTGAAAATATCAAAAACATACATAGTCACATGCATATGCTAGAAATGTACACAATTTCTGACCCCCATTTATGTTACAATTGCCTTCGAAGAGAGTGTGAATTCGGAACCGACAAAAATTAACGTAATGATGCGTGCATTTTTACCTCAAGATATCATGCCATAAATGTTTATCAATAGCCTAAATAAGCCACCTCGAACAACCAGCCACAATACTGAAACAAACAGGTCCCATCAACATGTCCAACAAACGCACGATATATCCTGCAAATTTTGCAATCGTGCAGCATACCATCCGCTAAAGGCGACGAACTGGCCTATTGAGTCTGACGCCGTGACGAATGGCAGACCAAAAGAGCAGACACCACGCAAGCAAAGTATGACTTCCGTCGCCACGCAATCCCCTCGCCTCTTGCCAGATCACACACGCACGCAACGAGGCCTGCTCGTGAGGCACGCTCCTTCACTCTCGGTACACCTCAGGGGGACACTGAGACGGCAGGGCGAGAGGCAGTCCCAGCCGCTCCTTCGGCTTGGTGGGGACAATCCTCCGGACCTCTTCCTGAGTCAGGCCATGCACCAGCTCGAGGTGCCGCCGCAGTTCCGCCACGATACAGCACACTTTGCCGCACATGTAGCACGTCGTCAGTCCCTCGTGTTTCTTCTTGTGGTGGTTCAGCGATTCGCGGTGTTTGTAGATCTTCCCGCAAACGTTGCACATGTGTTTCGACTGGTCTGAAACAAGACAGACGTTCCATCAGAGAGAGAGCAGAATGTACATTAGTCCGCAACAGCATCTCTTCATTTGGCTCCGTAGACAACGCGCATCCCCGTAACGGCTTCGTGGTATTCCGCACTATTATGCGTGTTGAAGAGAGCTTCCGTTAACGAGTAAGTAACCGTCAATTATTCAAATAACACGCCTTATGCCTGACAACTATGTATTTAGCCTGCACATACAAGAAAACCACTGCACACTTGTGCCAATCAGCGCACATTCTTATTGAGGGCAGAACAATGCGACCTTTTACGCGTGAGCCTTTGCCACAGCTGGGTCGTCAACTTATGTGTAGTAAGTACACTACACCAAGATAGGGTCACAGTTCAGATGTAATTAGTTAAGTGTCACATAGAAAACAAAAACGGATGTTCACATAGACAGAGGTACCCAGGTCGTCTTGATCGCGATGTCTCCGTCGCATCGGTCTACTACCTTGTTAAAAGCAATGTTCCACATCTGAAGATATTGAAGCATGCCATATATGTAACGTAATGAGCTCACTTACAGCTATTGGCGTGTATATATGTATATATATATATATATATATATATATATATATATCCTGTCGTGACGAACATTAAAAGGGAATGCTCCACATCTGTGTAGGACTTTGAACTCAGATGAACAATTTTGAAGATCGTTCGGTGCATTTCACAGCCCTGCCCTTCCTAAGACTTTAAACCATCAGGTTTCTGAGCTACACGCTCCGAAGACGTGCAGGCTTTTCCGTGGTCATTCAGGCATGCTTGCCGTCATAATACCGTCAGTTCGCCACCCATTGGCCAAGCAGCATCGCTAGGCTAAGAATATAAACGCAGAGCCGTTCTATCTGGCGCTCTTAAGCACAATTTCGTTACATAATGCACGCCAATTGGCCCTCAGTGGATGTTGATCAGGTTGTGCATTTCGCTCACGAATCACGTTTTGTGCTACATAATACAGGAAGTTGGAAATGGTTATCAGTTATCGCCGAAATAACACTAGTAAGTCGAATTATGTACAAACAGCACCATAACCGAGTGTGTGAATAAAAAGAAGCAGGCTAAGCCCACGGATAAATATGCAAAAACACCACGAGAAAGGACCGAAACCCAAATACATCACGATATTTGATTCAGCAACAAACACTTATAGCACCGCCGAGGCCACCTCCCGGGAGATTCAAGTGCTACAAATGAGTGCTTGGATATCAATTTCGCGCGGCTAGTTTGGCAGCACCTCAACGTTACACAAACGCCCCGCGACGCAATCAAACCATGAAGCATTGAGAAGCATATTTACTAAATGAAAAATTGTGGTGCAAAACAGCCTTACGCGATTAAAGTACGCCAATGGAGAAAAGTAAGCTTATTTCATCACGTCTAATGCTTGCTTCAATATCTTCAAAAGTGGAACATTCCCTTTAATTCTGACGGTGCAGTTCTTATGCCAGGTAGCGTGACCACCAAAAAGACGCAGGGGTGACAAGATAACTCCACACAATAGTGAGCCGACACCATGGCCCACTGGACCACTTATTCCCCCGCCTGCATTGGCTGACTGACCAAATGTACAATCACTTCAAGCGTAGTGCGTACAGACGAAGCTTTAACTCACACAGGCGAAGCCACTGCCCCGTCCATTTGCCAAGCGACTTCTCAGAACTCTGCAACCAATGGCTGGATGAAGTCGTCGGTGTTTCTTCGTTTGTGACTGAAATGAAAACTGAGTGTTTATGGTGGTGTACGGTATGATACCTCATGTAACAACGAAAACTAATCCCAGTTGTCTGGAAAACTGCAGAATGTCTGTATTCAAGATGCGCACACAAGCCGACCAAAAAAGGTAGTGCGTTATAAAAAAGCACATACGGCGTCGACATGCAGCATTCTGCTAGGTAGACGTGTTACGCATAGCTCTTACCCAACCCCATCGACATGTTAACCATTTCAGAACAACATGCTAAAAGCACTGAGATAGGAGATCTCCTACAGCACATCGATGCGTTTCGGGGTGATGCATCATTTCTGTGCATGCACTTTTTGCGGTTTTTGAACAATGTCGGTAGCCACGTGGTTCAAAGGCGTTAATGACAGGAAGCTTCAACACTGACGAAGAAATAACTTACGGACCTTTGAGGGGTAACCCAATCAATGTGACCCGACGGATACGCAAGATTTCCATACCGGCAGTTCGGGGTGTCACAAACTACGGGCTTATGGTCCATAACTGAAAACGGATACAACCGTTGTCGGCTTTCATCCCGGACCTTGAGGCTCATATGGTTGGCAGCAAGCGGCTGGAAGTTTCTGCCAGCCGGCCTCCATCAGCTAGAGCCGTTGGCAGAAACCACGGGCAGCAAAATTGCAAGAGCTCAAACGCGGGAAAATACGCGCGTAAACGGAGTCACCTGTAACAGCAGCAGCATGATCGCAAGCAAACTGCACCTTGAGCAAAATGTTTGTGATGCTTCCGTGATGTCTATCTTGAGAATACCGTGATCAGAATGAGGAGCGCTTGAGAAAAACCGCACGCCGTTAAATGTTGATGAAAAGTTGCGCTGAATAACTTGCTGCTTACATCAATGAAGTTTGAAAACACTACACATCCCTCGAAAGGATGCCAGTTAATGTAACGTCTGAACTGAAGTCCTTTGACAGACAAAATCTTCTAAACCGACTTTCGAAAGTCTGCGCATTCTACGCCAGTAGCACCTTGTATCCCTTGGGGATGTTATAAAGCAATGTGATGTTCCACATCCTGGTGAAAGGCAATTCACTATGCCCTCATAGTGAACTGCCCTTGATACATAGTTCTCGAGTTCTAATTCATGTACCAGTTATAACAAATAAGGCATGTATTCTAATAATACCATTGATGGTTTCAAACCAGCCCACGTCGCAACTCATAACACGACTAGAAGCGTCGCTGATTGATATCAGTATTTTACTGTCGGTAGAAGTATCAATAATATAGAGATATTCGAAGTATGAGTTCACGTGCGCGAGAGAAGACAGGGAGCTTGTGGTACATGGTATCACCGGTTATCCATGGCGTTTCGCAAATTGATACAAAACATTTCAAAGATTACTCATTTTCTTTTAATACATATCTTAAATCAACTATATTCTGGCGCCGGAAAGTGTTCGCCAACAGCTAACTTTTTCATGTCAACAGTACAAATTCAGGGCCATTATTTTCTGGAGCACAGGCAAACATTTTCAACGCTAGCAAGTAAAACATGAACTGAACAGGTGCAAGAGACCGTATCATCCAGCGCAGCATAACCGTACGAAAAATGTTACAGCAAAGCGCCCAATTCCAATGGTGAGAGGCTGGAATACCAAGGCAGTCCGGCACGTCGCCACCATCAGTCAATGACGTCCTGCAAAGCAAACTGACCAACTGACATCACATGTGGGGTACATGAAACGCTAGGGTGAACCGTTACGAACCATGACCACTCTCTTCCATGCCCTTCAAATCTTCCCACGGGGAGTTTCCTTTCAGTTGGGAAGGGAAGAGCCCTCCCCTAACAATTTTAGCTCCAATCCCTCATTTTTGATCTATTTCGGATGTAGCTTTGCCATTTTCATTGCTGAGTCCCTCAACCTCTTTTACGAAACAACACCTCAATCTCTCGCTAAAAACTGCACCTGACTTCACATGCAAGCACCAAAGACAGTGATTGAGCGAAAGCATTTGACAGACCATAGAACGGAGGTAGTTAGGGAGGAACAGCTTCGGCTAAAGGGACGCCCCTGAAAATTGCTAATGAATGGGGAATGTTTTTTAGGCCATGCGGAGGCTGGACAATAAACCTTTACATCGGCTTAATAACGCTCGGGGTGAGCCCCGAACAACTAACTAAGGGCAAAATAACTAAAGGCAAACCAAACCATCTCGTTCTGCCTTCTTCCGACGCGAGCGGAAATTCTGATAAAAAATAACTGTTTATCAAGAAACTCCAACAACGGACATACTGCAATTTTTGCGCTTAATTTTCCGCCGCCACACTATGACCAAAATCACTAGTATCGTTGCTAGTACCGATATCGTGTGCGTCTCTCCACTAACAACCATTTCAAAGCCGACCTTGACACAGATACTAGTGTACGGAGAAATGGTTGGACGGAAAGATACCAAAATGAGTCCATTTTTTGCTTCCAAACTCAAGGCTTATTTGATGGCGGGTAAAATGCCCAAAACTTGACACATCCTCGTGCACACAATTCAGTGATACGTAGGTGCAATGGAAACGACTTCCAGGGGAACATCATTCTACACCACAATAAAAAGCTTGAACAATGAGATCTCCAGAATTATCACCTCTATCAACCCGCAACATTATGAGGAAGGTCCAGCCAGCGAAAATAAGGCTTATGCACGTGGTATCTATCTCTATGACTCATGCCTGACATCTAGCATGCAAAATCTACCTTAAACGGGGCAAACGTGAACTTAATGTAATAGCATTTCCTGCCAAATCATCTTCGAATATTCATTCCAGACATACATGATGAGTCACATCCGCAGTAACGCGACTGAAAAAGGCGAAGATCTTACCTAATGTGAGGTTTCCTTGGCTGTCTTCTGGTCGCCTGTCAACGTACTGCATAGCAACCACCACGCGACCGAAAAACAATGATGCTACCTTGCGCTCGCGAAGATTGCAATGCGCTACGCTTTAAGCAACGCTAACAAAAAACCTTCGCACCTAACGTTGATGCTTTAGCCGAAGTATGTCAAGCTATACTACAAGACGCCAAAATATGATTTCTTTGCGGTTCTCAGACAGAATTTCCTTGCAGGTAGCATAGTGTTCCCGATTGATCGAAATCAACACAGAATTTCCGAGTGAGCATAGGCCAGGCAACATAAGTGTCCGATTGACCGGAAGCCAGGCACTCGCAGGGCCAACTAAGCCGAATTCACCATCTGATATACGTAAAACATCAGTGAAGAGCTGCTTGAAAACAACGCAACTTCACTGAAGTGACTGTCACGTCACAAAGCTACCCCGAAGTGGCTGAGCCAAGCAAAATAAGCAGCCTCCCGTGAAGGAACCAAGGAATCAAAATGTGTTTGTGACATGAAACGGACTAAACATAATTCATCACGAAACTCTCAAATACCGCGAGAACCTGATGTTAGGAAATATTCATTTTCCTTCCTAAAACTCGCAGATTCATAAGGACAAAGCAATAGCGGTCAATTGCGACTAATACACAAGGCCATTTCGTGACAGGGCCACATGTAGAACCGTTACGTGGAGCAAAACTTACGCAGAGAAAACGCAAGTTCATCCATCGCAGCAGCCTTCGAGTGTACATGCCGCGGCAAAAGACAGGTAGCATAACGAATAAATGTAATTCGTTACCCATTCATTACCTTATGAAAATTAATTTATCTGTTTAATACCTTTTGTCTATAACCTACCTATCCGTTATCTTTGGACAATGCACCACCAAACTATCATGCATGGATGATGACAATGGATGAGAAGAGAAAAGTCCCTGTCGGGTTAAATTTGGGATAAATTTGTTGGAATAAAATTATATCGAAATAAACCTTACATAACCGGCGCAAACTTAAACTACGCTTACGGTTTCATTTGGGTGAAACACTTGTATTCTCCGTAATACATCTCTACTACTCACGCCCAAATTTTGTGCGACAGGATGAAAATGACTTCTTAAGTACACACCCGTCAAGCTCTCCAGCCGGGAAAGTCGGCTTAGACAACGAATGATTTTGAGCAGTGCCATTGCTTTTCGGCTTAGTGGGTTTACATTTGCTGACCGCAAGAAGACATTTGGGCGTAGGCTTTCAGGTTTGAGTGATAATTTGTTTACTAAAGATGCTTTGCGTTTCAGCTTCTGCCATCATCGTTTTGGGGAAAACACTACGCAGCGCAGCGCAGTAACCAATTCAAAATACTCAAAAAAATACTTTCTGCAATGTAGCTCTTGAAATCTATCATGTGCGTTGATTTCTTGTTTGTTAAAGATTCGCAAAGCAAGTGGCAGCGTCACCTCAGGCTGTCTTTTCGGCAGTTCTATTACAGAATATGCCATGAGCGCGTAATGTTTCTCCCCGCGCCCGTGCGTCTCGCATGTCAGTCTTGTGTGCAATCACCACACAATTTGGGCTGGGTTCAGACCCGATGAAAGCGCATCATGTAACTATATGTTGCTCCTAAAAGATATTCACAATGACTATGATTGGGACTTTCCGTGTTACCAACCGCCAGGGCCACTTCGAGACTGCATACCTTTATCAGGTACCACAAGGGGTGTGGTGGTATCAAATTAAGTATCATGAGGGGTGTGGTGGTATCATATTAGGTACCATGAGGGGTGCGGTGGTATCATGTTAGGTATCATGAGGGGTGCGGTGGTACCATATCAGGTACCATGAGGGGTGCGGTGGTATCATATTAGGTATCATGAGGGGTGCGGTGGTACCATATCAGGTACCATGAGGGGTGCGGCGGGATCATATTAGGTACCATGATGGGTGCGGTGGTATCATGTTAGGTATCAAGAGGGGTGCGGTGGTGGCACGGCAAGAGCTTGAACCTAAGACCGCCGGTCCAGAGCCGAGCACCATACCACCACGCCACCGCCCCTCTTTGAGAGGTTACAAGCACTCAATTGGTCCTCGAAATGGGGTGTCCCGTCTTGCTTGAGCCCTAAATACGTCAATGCACCATCGGGAACAAGGAAGTCGGTCATGTGTCGACTTCTGTGTGTCCGCGAGGGCTGTCGCGAGTCCGAGTTGCACAATGGTGCCAGGTGTCAGGGCAGCGCGGAGAGGCTCCCAACCCTTCATAAACCAGCGTTCACTCGCTTCGATAATCAGGTGCGCACGTCCAGCCAGGACGCGTCTTCGGAGGGCTCATGGCGTCGAAACTGCCATCACTCATGAAAGACAGCTTGATTGAAAGGCAATCTTTGCGTAATATTCCGTACGATGCCACTGCTACCCGATCTTCAAACAAATTCTTTGCACAACAAAGATCTTTCGACATACCACATGGTGATTATGCTACGTTACGATGGCAACCGTTCACTTTTGAGAAGGAAAATACCCTTGAGAAAACGCGTTTTCGTAAAGGACCTTATTTACCGTGCCTTGAATTTTGACGAGTGCTTTGGGTGACAACCTGATCGCCTCAGGCGGGACAGCGCATATGGTTGCCAGCCTCGGGCAACTTCACTTGCAAAATGATTTGCCTTAAAGATTGAAGGGACTGAGCGTTCAAAAGACTCGCTGGGAATATAATACCCTACCCAAAAAACGCTAACCATCATTATTTATATCGCGACGAGAAAAGTTTGATTTCAAGCAGCAGCTTCCCTCTCCCACGAGTGCGCACTGGAAATGCTGCGTATATCGCACCTGTCGCTGCGGCCCAGAGCGCCGTCAATACGGCGCATGCACGGCACTGATACCAAGCTTACACAATGGTCATGTGAAAGCCAAACCTTTGAGGGAATACTGCAGCGTACCCTGCCCGCACGAAAAAGCACACACGAATCGAAAGATACCACAATATTACACGGCGTAACGGATGTTTGGGAAGGCCCAACCCAATTAGAGGCCATTTACTGCAAGAAACATTTCATTTCAAATATCAAGGGGGATCGGAAATAATCAGAGGCAGAAATCATAATAAAAAGATATTGTACGAACCATGGTGCAAAGCACACGTTTATAACCGACACTAGCTAGTGCGACGCGAGCCAGATTTCGAGAGCGCTAGCAGAAGAGTGCTAGCTGGTCGAAAATGTGCCCAGGAGATCGTGGCGGACCCGAACTTTACTCGTATGATGACCTCGCTTCCTCAAAAAGTTACATGCCACGCCAGAAGCAGCAGGGAGGTGGCTTGTGTCATATACAGAGTCGCGAGCACACAAACACAGGTGCCGTCCATCCTTCCCCGCACACTGGACACAAAATAACCATTCTCCGACTAACGTTTGAGCAGCACATACGAAAGCCGCCCACGGCACCAGACTTCGTATAGCTGCCGGCGTCAAAATGGCCGCGGCACTCAACATGGCGGCGCGGCAGTTCGGCCGCCTGAAGACGCTGCCCCTCCAGCACGCTGGCACAGCCTCCCAGGGGGCCGCCGCCGTCCAAAGGCACGTGGCCACGCGCTCAGGCCACCGCAGGCGCCAGACAGGTCATTCTCAACCCACCAATGCGGTGCTTAAGACGCGCATATTCCGGAATCACACGCTTAGTTTGTGCCAAAAGGAATAGTTACAAGGTTAAATATCTTGCTGGACTCCAAGACCTGGCGGGCATCGATCAAAGATACCGCCAAAGGAATGGACCTGTAGCACTGTGCCTTTGGGCGACGGAGAGCGAACGCAGTGTTCATTACAACGTCAACGGCACGGCGACGTGCCGCGGCGTGGCATACCGGCATGCAGCGACGTGGCATGCCGACGAGCCGTGCCGTGGCATGCCGACGTGCCGTGCCGTGGCGTGCCGACGTGCCGTGCCGTGGCATGCCGACGTGCCGTGACCTTGCATGCCGACGTGCCGTCACGTGGCATGCCGTGCATGTGTACTGTACGTGACGTTAAAATTTTACGCGATTGTGAACGGCATTGTACCGTGTGCGCGTTGCAGGTGTTTCGCCGAGGCGTCCATTAATGTGCTTGACTTAAACTTACTTTGGGTTTTGAAAAGGACGTTTCGGCTTAATTTTCATATCGTTTGACCAAGGTGGATATATATATATATATATATATATATATATATATATCAAGCTGCTTGAAATATAACCTGATTCCGCTTTGACACTATACGTTGCACCGTCTAGACCAGCCTGTTTTTGCGCCCAGTACCTTCCAGGTGCATAACCTGCCTGTGAACAAGCCACCTGCTACTTCCTTCATCCGGATAATGCCGCCCTCGCACCCGAAGCCCCGTTACCCTATGCAGAGTTTCTCTGATGGGCGGTAGGCTCCGCCGTTTGCCGTGCGGCGGGAGTGTGTGCCAGCGTGCTGGGACGGGCGGGCGGGCCACAGCGCGGCGGACGGCACCTACCTGGCGGTCCGGTGTCATCCAGAGGTCGCTGCGACGGTCCCGGCTGCCCGCCCGCTGTGAACAGGTCAGCCCGGCGTCACACCGGCCGGCGCCGGACGGCACGCAAGCTCGGCGATGGCTCGCGGAGCTCCTGATTCCATTCAGAAGCGCGGCTTGACATCGCGGGCACACGCGCAAGCTGACATTGCTCACACTGTAGATGCTGAAGATCTAGTGCGCCGAGCCTGCTCCGCAGTGGACACGTCGGGAAGCCGGCTGGGGCAGGCTCTACTTCGTCCCTCCCCTCCCCTTCTCCCGACCGCAAGACGTGGGTGCCTCTTGCGGCGCGTCACGATAATGTGCCGCGCCGTTTGGTGCTGGTATCCTCCACGTGACTGGATCAAGCACGTATGCCATTCGTTGCCAAGATGCGAGGTCAATGTCTGCGGCTTTAAGCCACGTTACGGTAAGCACGCATGCTGTTTTTGATTATCTGTTCTCTATTACAACGTTCACCACTCACCCGCTGCCGCCGTGGCGCCGCCGGCCACCAAAGCGCTGACGGAGAGGTCCGGCTCGCCGTAGCTGCCCTCGTATTCGGCCACATAGCCGAGCGTGGCGTCCAGGCTGACGTCACCGTCATCATCCTCCGTCAGGTCCACCTTCTCCACCTTGACGCCGTCCGGCGGGGGCGGCGAGGCGGCAGCCGACGGCGCCAGCCGTGGAGGCGGTGGCGGCGGCAGGGAGGACGGCGGCGGCGCGGGGGGCGCGGCCGCCGGCGCCGGCGTGGAGGCAGCCGCCGGCGAGGGCGGACGCGGCGCCGGCGAGTGGGCGGTGGGCGAGGCGGGCCGCGGCGCTGGCGAGCCGGTCCGCTCCTCCGGCGACGCGCGCCGACGCTTAGCCGGCGGCGTCACAGGCCGCGGCGCCGGCGGCGGCCGTGGCTCCGGCGTGCGCGCGGGCGGCGCGCCCAGCCTCTGGGCCGACACGGGAGACGGCGGCGGCGGCTGCCGACACCGCACAGGGGCCGGTGAGAGAGTGAGATCAGGGGCGAGCGCGAGGGCGAGGGCGAGGGCGAGGGCGAGGACGAGGGCGAGGACGAGGGCGAGGGCGAGGGCGAGGGCGAGGGCGAGGGCGAGGACGAGGGCGAGGGCGAGGGCGAGGGCGAGGGCGAGGGCGAGGGCGAGGGCGAGGGCGAGGGCGAGGGCGATCGTTTTCAAGCATCACGGCCAACGTTCTAGATCACAGCATAGTCCAAGAAAATGTGTGACAGGCCAAACAATGTTAGTCCATGCGTTATTTTTTCGTCATATGTGAAATTTCCCACCTTGTCGTCATCGCCGCTGAGACCGCGAATCTGCAGCATCTCCGCCGTCTTGATGAAGCTGGCCAGCTGGCTCTGGGCCACGTTCACACTGCCCTTGTACATAAACTCGATGATGGCACGTAGGTCGGCGGCCGACGTGTCCTTCAGGAAGAACACCATCTGCTGACACGGGTTGTTCTGCAACACAATGGTACTGGGATATCACATACCACACACAACGGCGATCTTCCAAGTCACGCTACGTATTTTCGCCCCAAGTATGAAAGTAACGGGGTTACACGAGCACGCGTATACGCGACAACAGTGTAGGTTACGAAAATGGTAATTGCCTTCGAGCATTGCCAGGGTTTCAATACGCATGCATGTGGCATGACACTGTGCTGCACATGGCTCATAGCATTATCACCACTATGTACACATGTATCAATGCATGCAAGGAGCACAGAAAACACTGCTTAAAGAACCATGGCCTTTAACTGATGCCCCAATTTCATATCAGTTGAGAGCATCTTGCATGAAAGGAGTAAGATGTGAGAAACACAATTTTAGTTCCCATGACCAACATCATTAATGACTGGATCCTTAATACATCATTGTACACAGTACTACATATGGGGATAATGTTAAGAGCAATGCCTAGCAGAACTGCCCAATTTCATAATGCCTTGGGATGCTGCCTTCGAGGACCTGACTTAAAGATGTTTTTTATGACTTTTGGGTCCCATAACCAGCTTGTGTTCTTATAGATGCTTCATCTGAGCCTGTGACAAAGGCAATGGCCCAGCTTTTCTGCTTCTTATCTCACAATTTTTAGCACAGTTGCATGTTACAATATTGTAAGACAATGGGCCTGAACCCAGGATGTGGGCAGCATAGTGGTAAGAGTGCATATTGGGGAAACTGGAGTTAAGGCATTTACCTCCTGACAGTGCCAGCCATTTCTGCTGGAATGAGAGGCAAGCAGAAACATATAGCCTCAGCAGCTGAATGTGTAGTAAGTAAATCACCAACGACATGACCCTGATAACTAATATTTAGACGTCATCAACCATCATGATTAAGTCCATCTTCTTCAGCTGTATTGCTCTGCACAATCAGCAAGTTGTGAGACCTTTTTGTGACCTGGGAAAAAAGCTATAGCCACACATTATATAACTGTTGACAGCTCTTGCCTGCAGTCAGATTCTATGACCTCACAGTCATACCACCATCACTTACTTTTAGGAGATCCCTGAAGTATGGACTGCATGCAGACAGCATCATTCTGTGTGCCCTGACTTTCTGGCCTTCACAGCACAGAGTGATGTCCACCAGCTCCTCATCTTGTCGGAGGTGGTCAAACAGAGAGGTGACACTGCTCTGGAACCCATCCCACTTGAGGCAGAACTTCTGACCATCCATTATCTGTGGAAAATGAGTTTGATCATGTAGTGGTTGTCATGATGCATCTAGACTGGGTTTAACTACAGCATAAAAGACAGCATGAAGGCCTATGGTGACAATGTCACCAGTGGTATGTCACATGCCCCAAGGTCAGAGGCTGATAGCAGGAACTGGGACAGAATGCATGGGTGATGGCATCATTCCACAGCATATGCCACTGACCAGATTCAACCTTAATTTATTGCAGCCATGTTCTCATCACTGTTTTTTCATAATATGGCTAGCAATGCAGTTCATTTGGGACAGCACAATAGAAGGGCTAACATTTGCAATGATGGCAAATAGGCATATGGACAAAGACAGCTTAGGGTTTATGTTTAGCTTTACCAAACAGCAGTTTTTCTCTTAAGACTGTGGGTTTGGCCTGCTTCAACTTGTATCCATTTTGCACAGCTGGCCTCTGCTCCAGCTTTGGGCCATTTCAAACATTAGACTTTGCTTCAGGTTTGTCATTTTTAATAACTGGCCTAGACTCCTGCTTACAAGAACTTTTGAATTATAACTATGGCTTTGGTTCCCAGTGAGGTTTACCTGCTTGGGCTTGGACACCAGGGTTTTGCCCTGGTGTCTCTTGTTGTGGATTCACTCCACTTACAGTGTTGTTAACCAAATATTACATACAGCACTTGCAGACAATGGCAAATAAGTGTGCTAGGGCCCAAAGCCAGTGAGTCATTCTTGAGACTGACATGTGCATTACATGACCACTGGACAATGATCAGAACACTGTGCAAACATTATCACATAAGATAGAAGATAGCCCAAAAAACCCTTTCATGATATGACTAAATTTTATCTCAACCACCCTGCACACCCCTGCTTGTACTATCTGATCCCACATAATTTTAGAGCATAAAATAACTTGGTTTGAAAGAAAAATGCTGTGAAAGAAAAACCATATAAGCCATTGTTTTCAATTTCAGCTTCATTTGTTTGAGCTTCAGAGCTTGCTACCACTAGCCTCAGATTCGGCTTCATGTAAAAAATAGCTCCATTGGTTACATCTGCTCAGTTCCAAATTATGAAGCCACTAGTGCACGCTTTGACTTCAGCCTCTCATCACCATCTCACCTCATATTTGCCTTTTGTCAGAAGCCTAGCTTTTTCCCCATGTTTGCTGTTACATTGCAAAAGCTAGCTAATGTTGGTTCATATATCATACTGCACTACTCATAAAACCAATAAACTTATCCATTTGTTATGAATTTCTCTGGGTTCACTTGGGTTATCACACTAACAGGGACTATAAACACAAAGTGGACAAAACACTTGATTGCATTGTGAAAGGCCGACATCATTGTTAAATCAGCACCACGTCTTGGCCTCCTATGTTATGAACGAGGAGATAACATGTCTATGATAGGCATATGATGGTGTCAGTAGCAGTGCAGTGAGGTGATCTGTTTTAGGTAATCCATAACATAAGCCATAAGAAACTATTTTTGGCCATATTTGCACATGGCCACCACCTGGTGTCAGATACCATGGATAATGGCCTGATCATGCTCATGCATACTGTGATGACATATCTAACAAATACTTGAAACCTCCATTGGCTAAATTTGGTGATGACCACGCATCAAACTCAGGGCACTTAGATTTGCAGCAACCAAGAGTTGAAACTTTTTGGTGCCTTTGCTGCTGTGTCTGACACGCTGGTGAAAATTTAACTATGAGATCTCCTTTGTGCACATTACTGCTGACATGCTCAGAAAAATATTTCATTTTGCAGTCTGGTCTGGTCTTTCCAGTCAGGCACCTCTGATACAGGAACACCACAATAAACTGGGTGTTCTTCATGAAAAGTTCATAAAACACTTCACATTTAACAATGACAAAGCTGGAAAAGTACTGATCCTATATGGTTAAAACTGTGCCAAAGAAACTTTCCTGTTCATTGCATCACAGCATTGTAATCTCATTCATCACTCTGAGATATGGTGAAAACAATGAACATTCCAGCATATTTCGGCAAACCATCAAAGGCACGTAAGAAGCGAAGGCTTTCTTATACCAAATGACACCAAACATTCCATTTAACTTTAGACGGCAATACCTGAACAGGATAGACGCTGGCAATAATGCAACTCACAGGTATTCAAACTATTGCCGAACGAATTTTACGTACAATGGTAACTGGAGACACAAAAATCTCACAACTTGCCAAAGCGTGTAAAGAGTCTCGGAAATAGCTGAAACACAATTCATTAATTGTAATGCGAATTTGCCATGACTACAATCAGCAACCCTTACCGCAGCGGGGTCACCAAGGCACCGACTGTGCGCATACTCGCGTCAAAATGGTCGCCGCTCGCAGCATTCACCAATACGCCCCGTGCACAGGTAGCGTTACTTCGCTGCCATTCATACCGGCAACCCAAAAAGCTGGACCCAATGCAATGATTTTCCCTAAATCGACAGGAACCAGTGTAAAGTATACCATTTTATCAAAGTTCTGAGATCGGAGCACAAAGATCCCTATTTTGGTTATAGAAAGAGAAGACATCCCTTTAGACAACCTGCTTCATCAACATCTACATGTGGAGAGCGCTCATGAAATACATGAACACGTTCCCCATAGCAAATTTGGGAAAAAACTTATATCGAATAATTCCAATGAATGCAAAATGTTCAGAAACGGAACAAACAAGAACGGATGACTGGATTAATCATTTGTAATGCCATTTGTAATACAACAAATGGCTCGCGCCACCGTCTCTTCAATGGGATTTCAGTGAAATTTTGCCAGCTGTGCTTCGTCATTACGAAATCATGCACTCACCCTGCCTCTAAGCGCATCGCCTGGTTTCGAGCTGCTCGCCTGAAGACGCTATCTCGATCTCCAAAAAACATACAAGGACATTAGTGGTGGCCCAACGGATTGTTCCCAGAGGTGGGAGTGGTCAGGATACACTTGAGGACTAGGCATGACCGTGGCAAAAACAAAGGTAACCAAGGGCTATCTTAAAACGTTAACTTGAGGGAATGATCCCCACATACGACTGCCGAATGCCTCTCTAGTAAATCCCGAAATCCCTTCCGCCTGTGAAACGATGGATTTGACGGTAGCTTTCGCCCGACCAGGTCTTGGAAGTGTTTCAGGCAGAGATCAGAGTCGCGGTGATGCATGGTTTCTGCATAGGGTTTTATGGCATCATTGCTACAGCAAAACCTCATACTGGCAAGAATGCTACGACATAACTTCTACTGTCAATACCCATTTGCCAAATTAGTGCTACGCGACAAAACTTACAAAAGCCTATACGCTGAAGCCTATACCGGTCAATACCTCTGGTAAAAAACTTATTCAGTTATACCTCATACGCGACAACATGTCTCCTGACATTAAATTTATGGGGAATTGGTGCTTAAGGACAAAATTAATGCCTCAAAAACTGATGCCCGGTCTAACTTCTAATGCAAAATCTTACTTACATAGACAGTTATTCTTTAAAGGGAGTGTTCCACATCTGTTTGAGATTTTGAACTCAAGTAGCCATATTGAAGATCATTCAGTGCAGCTCACAGCACTGCTCTTCTCAAGACCCAACCCGCTGCAGTTTCTGAGTTACACGCCCGTGAAGATGGGGCGTTTATTTCCGGGAAGTATTTTCAACGTCACATTGGTATATATGACGTCGTAATAAAGCCATTCAGATCCTGACATTTTGTTAGTCATGCGACAATCAAGGCCAATAAAAATATCATGATCGAGTCGTTTATATCTAGCATTCGTGGGCACAGTTTCCAGACATAATAACCGTCAATTGGACCCCAATCAGTGTTGTGCAAGGCACGACGACGCAATTAAGCGATGACGTTTCGGTGAGCATATGTACTTAACAGAAAAATTGTGTTGTCTAGAATGGTCTTTTCTATCTAATAGTGTACCAATAGTTAAAGTGTGCTTAATTCATCATACCTGATTTTTGCTTCGATATCTTGAAACGTGAAACGTACCTTTCAAACACAACATTACTTTCTTCTTCTACAAATATTCTTACGCGACATTAGTGATAAATGACCGAAATCAGGCTTCAAAGACCTATGTCCTCCATTATTTCCGCTTCAAAACATCATTACTTCTAAAGCCATTACTTACAGCATCGTTAAAGCCATTGTTTCTATACAACATTACTTCCCCTGCGAAAATTTTTACACGGGCTTATTGCCACACGACACAAATTATACTTCACAAGTGCATTCGTGTCATTTTCTCGACTTGCCGTGCTTGGCGTATAACTAAGGACGGTTGTTTTGGAAACAAATTCCAATGACCTGTATACGTGTTCGAAATATCAGTTTTGTCGTGTGGCGCTGATCGCAGTAGAAGTAATGTTGCGTTCTTGTTAACACCAGGCCAGATGTGTAGTTTCACATTCTGTCACGGACCTCATCCATCCCTCATCTGTGATAGGAAGGTGTGTCACATACGCTATGGATCGGTGACATTCGCTAACACTGTCATGCCATCCTGATCTTTGCGATAACTCCAGATGTATGGCTTACTTTTATGCGCAGTCAGTAGGGGGGAGGGACACGACCAAAAACTGCTTCTTAAAAACCGAGTGCAGTTGCGTCGCAGGCGTGAACGAGTTTTTTTTTGCGTGCAGCAAAATATCATTGCATGCTCTTACTTGTGTGTCCACCCGAATTTGTTTACTGTTAACGTATGATAGCGTACATATTAAAGAGAACATCTCATCCCTGTTGCACTTTTACTTGTTACAACACCAGACACGTACGATTTGATCAGCAATATCAGTTTTCTCGAAATGCGTATGATTAACTCAGAATTTCGATTTGAAGTAGCCGACCCGCGAGAGAAATCCGATTTGACTTCCTGCTGACCATTATGGAAGGAATACTCGCCGTAACATTTACGCCGTAACATTTACCTTGGTTTTTCCAACGTGTGTGTTCTGTAATGTTTGCAACATACCACTGCATCAAAATGTTTGTGTAATAAATGCTACGAAAGCTTGAAACACTCTAGACAAATAAATATGCAAACATGAATCTATTGTCCCATGAATTTGACGAAACGTTATACTATGGCTTTGATATTTTCCCTATGGCTTTTACCGCAGTGGGTCTTTTGAGGCGCACGTTGGCTTTGAGAATGGGAATATCGCATGGCCATGTGACGCACTGGTTCAAACTTCAAACCAATGTGTTGCTCGGTAATAGGCCCCTTCCCGCCGAGCCGATTACAAACGTTCCTTCTTCGCACCAGCAGATGCGCTCGCTGTCGTTGTCATGACGACGGTGGTCGCGACAGAGAAGCGTACTGCGGAAATGGCGGAGGCGTACTGCTGTTACAAAACGTTAACAGCGTAGCTTGGACTCGGAAGAAATCATAATTAATGTTGCTATTACATCTTGACGGTGGTACAATGACAATGCCCAGTGCTATCATCAGACGTAACTAGTCCTGAGGTTTCACCGGAGTATGTTTTTGAAATATCCTCCAAAGGTGGGGCGCTCCCTTTTAATGCATGTCATGGACTTGGTAAGGGGTGACACATGCCGCGGATATTTTGCGCTTTCGCCTCCGTCTTCGTGCAAAGTGACCAACGCTTGCTTCCCGCAGTTTATGAGGCTAAAATGACTCTGCCGCCGATCCACCGCGGCAAACCAAGCGCGTGAGTTCATGTCTTACTGGATGGCACGAGCGGAATGGCCACAATACGCCTATAAACCACATCATCATCAGTCAAAATTTGATGTCGTAACATTGCAAATTCCCATGCGCCTGAATCCGACGTCGGCAAAGGGAACGCTGCATGGCAGTCGACGGAATAAAATGGATATGCTAACCGGGCAAGTGTGTTCTACTAGGAGCTGATAACCCAATTGCATCGCTGTCGACAGGGGCAGCACCACCAATTTTTACTAGGGACGAGGTCGTAAACCATCAACATATCTGAATTCAAAAAGGGCGATAAAGTGAGCGTTTAATAGCTGGCTTCCTCCCAAAGGATCAGCCAATTGCTCATGAGCTGTGCGGCGATCCCCGAAGTAGAGAGCGGGGGGGGGGGGGAGAGTGAACCAGAGAGAAAGGCAGGGACTGAGACCCAAACAACTTGCTAAAAATTTAACATTTGCCCTATGGGTGTTAACTGGAAAGAAGTAATCCAAATGGCTATCTCCACCTCCCCTCCCAGCTTCGAGGAATGCCGCTTCCTCGAAGCCAGCAAACATATCTTTTCACAGAATCGTACCTTCTTTACAGCACATGCATGCCATCATCTCGGCCAGTTGGCAACACGCAGCGTGTAAGCGTGGTATGCCCAGTGACAAAGGCTTCATAGGCTGTGACTTTGTGTATTTTTACCTACGAGCTACGCTATGGGTTGGGCGCGAGATTCAAAAATGGCTCTGTCCGCCTATCGAAAACTGTTGAGAGAGAGAGAGAGAGAGAGAGAGAGAGAGAGAAGAGAGAGAGAGAGATAGAGAGAGAGAGAGAGAGAGAGAGAGAGAGAGAGAGAGAGAGAGAGAGAGAGAGAGAGAGAGAGAGAGAGAGAGGAGAGAGAGAGAGAGAGAGAGAGAGAGAGGAGAGAGAGAAGAGAGAGAGAGAGAGAGAGAGAGAAGGAGAGAGAGAGAGAGAGAGAGAGAGAGAGAGAGGAGAGAGAGAGAGAGAGAGAGAGAGAGAGAGAGAGAGAGAGAGAGAGAGAGAGAGAGAGAGAGATAGAGAGAGAGAGAGAGAGAGAGAGAGAGAGAGAATAGAGAGAGAGAGAGAGAGAGAGGAGAGAGAGAGAGAGAGAGCGAGAAGAGAGAGAGAGAGGAAGAAGAAGAGAGAGAAGAGAAGAGAGAGAGGAGAGAGAGAGAGAGAGAGAAGAGGAGAGAGAAGAGAGAGAGAGAGAGAGAGAGAGAGAGAGAGAGAGAGGAGAGAAGAGAGAGAGAGAGAGAGAGGAGAGAGAGAGAGAGAGGAGAGAGAGAGAGAGAGATAGAGAAGAGAGGAGAGAGAGAAGAGAGAGATAGAGAAGAGAGAGAGAGAGAGAGATAGAGAAGGATAGAGAGAGAGAGGAGAGAGAGAGAGAGAGGAGAGAGAGAGAAGAAGAGAAGAAAGGAAAAGAGAGAGAGAGAGAGAGAAGAGAGAGAGAGAGAGAGAGAGAGAGAAGAGAGAGAGAGAGAGAGAGAGAGAGAGAGAGAGAGAGAGAGAGAGAGAGAGAGAGAGAGAGAGATAGAGAGAGAGAGAGAGAGAGAGCGAGAGAGAGAGAGAGAAGAGAAGAGAGAGAGAATAGAAGAGAGAGGAGAGAGGAGAGAGAGAGAGAGAGAGAGAGA